TTATGCTAAGTGAAAGAAGCCAGTCACAAAAAGACAAATATTGTATGATTCCACATATACGAGATATCGAAAGAAGTCAAACTCATAGAAACAGAAAGTAGAAGGTTGGTTACCAGGGGAGGGGGTGCAAATAATGGGGTGTAATTGTTCAATGGGTATAGAGTTTTGGTTTTGCAAGGTGAAAACGTTCTAGAGATCTACTGCATAAATATGTGAATATACTTAACACTACCAATTTTTTTAAATGGTTACAATAGTAAATTTTATGTTATATATTTCTTTGGATTGCATAAAAATGTGAATATACTAAACACTAGCAATTTTTTTCAATGGTTACAAATGGTAACCCTTCTTTATTGCAATTAAAGAAAAGCAATTTTAAAAAAGAATGGTGTTTCTATAAACAGCCTCACAGACATAGAGAACAGACTTGTGGTTGCCAAGAGGAAGGGGAGTGGGGGAGGGATGGAGTGGGAGTTTGGGATTAGCAGATGCAAACTATATATAGAATGGATAAACAACAAGGGCCTCCTGTATAGCACAGGGAACTATATTCAATATCCTGTAATAAGCCATAATGGAAAAGAATACGAAAAAGAATATATATGTGTCTAACTGAATTACTTTTCTGTACAGCAGAAACTAACACAACATTGCAAATCAACTACACTTTAATTTAAAAAAATTTTTTTAAAAAGGGTCAGCTACAAAACAAAACAAAAAGAATGGTGTTTCTATAAAGGGAGAAGTGGTCAACTGAGTGGAGGGTTGCCAAGAGAGCAAGCAAGAAGAGAACACAGAGTTAATACATAGGGTCACCAAGATGGAGAACAAACGCCGGTGACCTTTGTACAGATGGCTGCAGTGGCATGAAAGAGGAAGCAAAATTGAGAGAGAACTGAAGGTTAGGAAGTGGACACAGCCCTTGTGGACAGTTCTCAGGAGAAGGTTAGCTAAGAAGGAAGTCGTGGGGCAGAGTGGGTAGGAGGGAGAGCTAGTCTTTTGGTTTTTTAGGAAAGAAGAGACTTGAGTATATGTGAAGGTTAATGGGATGATCCATTGTAGAGGGAGAGGCTGATGAGGCAGGAAATAGGAAATCTAATGGAACGTCACCCTAGAGGAGATCTGAGGAGATGGGGACAGAGGTCCTGGGAAGAGACAAGTGTTGACAGGAAGACAGATGCTTCTTCTAACATGACAGGAGGGAAGGAGGAGAAGGTGGGGCTGCGTGAAGGTGGGTTTGTGGGTTTGGAGGTGAGAAGTGGATAGAGTTCTCACCTCATTTCTATTTTCTTTGTAAAACGTGAGATGAGATTGATGGTGTGAGGACTGGGGGGAAGTTACATCAGCAGTTTGAAGAGAGCGAATGTATCTCATCAGTCATCCAGGATCATGGCAGAATGAGCCTGCCAGAGAATCACAGCAAGACTGACCAACCCATGAAGGGGCTGTGGAATTCTGCATTCGTTATTTTAAAGTGATAAATATAAATATATTTTCTATTTTATCAATTGTAAGTCACACCTCTGAAATTGAGATACACTCTGGTATTGTTCCATGGTTTCCTAGCATTGATTCAGAGTTTAATTACCTGCATTGTTGTTTCTGAGAGGTCCACAAAGCAACGGGCATCTTTTAATCAATGGCATCTTAGAGGCAGTGAAATACGGTAATTTTATTCCTGCCAGGTTCAGCTGCTAGTGTGCAGATGTGGAGAAGGCCTTTCTTTCAGGGTTTCAAAGACAAGACAATAGTTGTCAGTCACAAAGAGACCTATTTGAGTCCACTCGAGGAATAATATAATTGCAATGTGATTGTAAGCACTGACTTCTGAGGAGATCAGCTCTTCATTACTGGAAGTGTTTCATCGGAAGTTTGGTCTACGAGGCCAATCTCTAAAATCTTTTGCCAGGTTAAGACTCTCATAAAATCCTCTTGTAAGCTTAACTGCCATGAGATGACAGTTCAAAATCCCTTCACCAAGGTGTCCTATATTAGATGCTCAGGAGCTGTGTCCTACATGGAGGTATGGTTATTGAAGGAAGGGTCCAAAATCATGTCTCCATCCATCAAATATTTATTAATTACCTACTGTATGCCAAGCAGTCTGTTACTTTGGGAGGAAATAAAAATAAATAAAAATCTAGGTGTCTGACCTAAAGGAGTTTATAATCTGCTATAAGAGACAGTTAACAAACTAAGAATTGTCACCAGAGGTGTTCATTCATCCAATCACTTGTGTAACACGTATTTATTGAGCTCCTACAAAACACCAGGCACAGTTATAGGTGTGGAAATACAGCAGTGATAAAATTCACCAGGTTCCTGCCCCCATGGTCTTTACCTTCTAGTGGAGGAAGACGATTAACCAAAATATTCCAATAAGTATGATCATTTGCACTAGTGATACGTATGAAGAAAATATTGGAATATGATAGAGAATGACTGGGGTGCTACAATCAGAGTATCAGTTTGGCTACAAGTAATAGAAAACCTAATTGTCACAGCAGTCCTAGGAGCATTAATTATTTATTTTAAAAGTCCAGAGGTTATTGATCCCAGAGTGGGTTCAGTAATTTAGTGGTGTCATTAAGGACCAAGGCTTTTTCCATCCTTCTATTCCTCCATCCTCAACATATTGACATTTTCCTCAGGCTTGTTGCCTCATGGTTGCAAGATAGCTGCCATAGCTGCAGATATTACATCCTCCTACAGTTTCCAAAGCCAGAAGGGAGAAAGGGGTAGGTGAAGAGGGGCAAGATAACTATTTTTTTCCTAGTGTAGCTCCCTTATTTTATCAGGACAAATCCCTCCTACAAGCTCTCTTTTCTCCCAATAGACTTCCCCTAAGGCTCATAGAACACAAATGGTCATCTGCCTACAGTGACCAGCAAAGAGGACCTGTATTGCCACAACTGGTTCAAAATAATGATGAGTTATCAAATCTAGATTTTTGGCAAGAAAGAAGACAGAATGACCTTGGGTAAGTAAATAATGACTACCAAATCAGGGGATGCTTCTCTGAGGAGATGACATTTGAACCGAAACCTCAGTGATGAGGTGGTGTCCGTCTTGTGTACCCTGTACCATGGTGGTGTAGAGGCAGGACCTGGGCCAGGCTAGTTGGTCATGGAAGTTTCGACAGCAGAGGAGACACCTGAGGACAAGAATGAGTCACCAGGTGAAGCTCTGGGTGGAGATGGGCAGAGGTCTTTCAGGCTGCTGGAGGGGCTAACGGAAAGGAGAAGGAATGTGACCAATTTGTAAGCGAGAGCGAGACAAGACGGGTTAGGTCGCAGCCCTGGTGAAGATGACTTCAGATGGGAACATTCTGATCCCGACACTACAAAAGTAGGGATAAGGTAACGGTGTGCAAAAGGAGGATACGCAGCTTCACTTGAGGCTGTGGAGGAGGCTTCCTCAAGAAAGAGACAGTTGATTTGGAGTTTCAGAGACTTGAAACAACACGATGAAAAAGCTTCAACAAGGCATCACCAGTGTGTAATGTGTGAGTCAGGGAGCGACTGATGATGAGATTGGAGCCACGCTGGGGAGCTCTGCTTTATTTAATTTGGGCCAGTACTTGTCTTTTCAAAAGCTGAGAGTCCCTGGTAAAAATAAATGAGCTGGTTTTCTCCTTTGTGCAGTGTGAAGTTGGGCTTGGAGGATCTCCAAGAACACCTCCATCATTTATATTCCGGGTCTCTAGTAGATGCTCAAGAAAAGTTTACCGAGCAAATGAACTATGAACAAGCCTCAGTCTTTCCTGTTGGCAAAACTTGGCCCATCAGTGTAAATTGGACTTGTCCTTCCAGGCCTGACCTGGCCCTGCAGACTCCATGAAATGGCCCTGGGCCAGCCTCCATCAACCCTTCCCTGCTTTGGACTTACTGCTTCCACTCTTAGCTGAGGAGGCCTTGTACATTCCCCACATTCATGTTTCTTTTCTTCCCAACTAGACTGTGAGCTCTGAGCAGTCAGGAGGGATATTTACATAAATCAATATATCCACAAACATATGGGACACTGGGTATATGGCATATACACAACGAAAATATTGAATTTTTCCATCTGATGAATGGACTTGAGTGGATTTCAACCCCAAAGGGGATTCTCAAATCTCTGGTTGTTCCCTAGAAGATTCAGAGCAATCCAGGAAGCAAAATGAGGATGAGGGAGCTCAGCGATTGAAAATGAGGAGCACCTCTCACTGTGTTACAAGAACTCCTTAATGTGGGTTTTGAAAATTACCATGCCTTAGTTAAATGTGAGTGTGGTTTTTGAAACGTGGCCTTCAGTGAGCTAGAAAGTCCATGAATGCTAAAAAAATTAGGAAATGATCTGTGAGTGTTTCAAAGTTAGAAAGGCACATCACTCAGCATGTTGTCTTCCAAGAGCCTTGGTCCTTGTGTCTGTCAGTAGAGGCTAGGTTATGCTGAAGTAACAAATAGCCCCCAAATTTCAACAACTAGAAACAATCAAGGGTCACATTTTGCTCATGCCCATCACAGGTCAGCAGGAACCCAGGAGGGAGTGGCTACCATTTTGAATTGCTGGTCACCACGGCAGAGCAACTTGCCTGACCCCTCCAACCACAAGGAGGTTAGGAATGGCAATGCCACCTGGTACCTGAACTAGGGACATCCAGAAACAATTAGAGAACCATGCTACCATAATCCTAGTTACCAGAAAGCCAGCCAAAGACAGAGCTCCAAGCACAGACACTTGAGTTTTCTATATCTCATTTTCAGGCTTAGGCAGATGCATGAGGACGTTAGTAGCTACGGCCAAGTACCACAGATCTTGTGCCACCTCTATAGTCCTGGATCCCTTGCCAGAAAGGAAAGCCTTGGATATCTGTGAGAGTCTGAGTGTGTCACCCAGTGTGTGACTCATCCATTCTCCGGTACTCTGTCCCTCCCACCTCAGGAGCTATTCCCAAGCAGGATTTGCCTGTCAGGCTGCAGGGCCCCGGCGTATGGGGCTGGCTGCCGGTGCCAGAGCAAGGCCAGCCTGAATGCCTCAGCCTGGGGAGCCACCATTCAGGGCTAAATTGACAGCTCAGAGATACAGGAGTTCAGCCTGCTAATTTGCTGCAAGATACGGCAAAGGAAAGCCACTGACACCTGCGTCTCCAGCTGCCAGGAAGTGGGGCGAATTTGCCAGTGACTTTGTCGTTGTCTAGCCACAGTGAGTAGTCCCATGTTCCTCCTCCTCCAAGGACTTCCTTGGGAGAATTTCAGAGGTGAGCAGCCAATTATGATTCTACACTTTCGAGGTTTTGTAATTTGAACATAGGGAGTAAGTATTCAAAAGGAATTTGGTAACCTGGGGGCACTTGACATAATTCAATAAGAGCACTAGTCTGTATGAAAATATTTTTGCTTTTACTGATTACTCTCTGCTTCTCTGATCCCATGCAAATATCAGAGTCCAGGAAACTGGAATCTTTAAAGGAATTATTTTCTTCTTCTCATGACCTGAAAGTGATTAAGTACAACTACAGAAGCTAATTCACTTTTCTAACCATTATTTTCCCTCATCACACTTTGTAATGTTTTATCTATAATTTTGACTTATTATCAAGTCATCACCAGCTTTAAAGTCTCCTTGAATACAGAGGAATATTTTTACACCTTCACATGCACAGATACACACACACAAATCCTGCACTTCCAATACTAACCTATGGCATTAAGAATTCCTGATCTTGGACATTATTTTCCTCAGATCAGACTTTCTCAGGAGGAATATAAACTTTGGAGAGATTTTTCTTGGCTCGTAAGCTTGTCTGCCTTGCGTTGTTCTTTGCACGGGGAGGGTGGGGGAGGACACATAGACGTCTCCCTGTCCATTTCCTTTCATGTCCTTCCTTAAAATATTGTTGGAATTGATGCTTATCTCTATCCCTTCCTTTTTCTGAAGGATTCTTTGTCAGTATTTGTTGAGTGTGAATTTTGAAAGTTTAGTTCTGCTTAGAAACTTTTATCCTTTGAATCTTGAGTTTTTCCCCTCTAAAGTAAACTTGCAGTTTAAAGAGTGAGGCTTGAATGGACCTCACCTTATTTGGATTTATTAAATTTTCCCTACAAAGTTCATGCATATTCTTACAGTTTGGAAAAATCAACTTATCTGTAGCTCGCAGAAATGATTTCAGGTACATTTCTGGGCAAATGTTTAGTCTTAAAAATTGCAAAACTTAAAAGACAGCAAAAACTATTTTCTGTCTTTAGGGATTGTATCCTAAGATCATACAGACCCAAATCCCTTTCCAAAAGTATTTACATGATAAAGAGTTATGGCATCATTGTCTTTTTACCCAATAAATGAAATTTTTAAACAGAAACCAAGACTCTTATTCAAATATGATGAGATCAGGGGACAGCTCTAAGCCTGGTGACTGCCTGGTGTTTCTAGAATTGGACATGGGAGCAGAGGCACAGGGGTTGGGAGTGGAAGTGTTTTGCCTGGGTCCAGGCAATAACCAATAACAGGGAGTAGTGTCTATAGACAATCATATTTCTAAATATGTCTAAAAAAATAGAACTAACTTATAGTCAGTCTACTTCTATTGTCAGCAAGTTCTGGTGATTCTAAACCACATCAGTAATAAAATACTCCTCCCCACTGGGGCAAACCACTCTCATCCCTCCCCACCCCAATCCCCTGGTAAGGCGCCTGCTTTGTGCAAGATTTGACTTAATTCACCAGTGGCAAAACAATCTACGTTAGAACACAGTGGCTACACGCTTCCACAAAGCCACACTTTAACATATGGTCTACTTTCTTGAATCCCACTCTCTTGGGAATGCATGGCTTCTGTTTTTTTAAAAATATATTCCTCTTAATGTAATCTTCATCTCTCAAGTCAATAAACCCTCTGTTGTTGTTTTTAATTTAGGGATGAGGTTATAGAATTTTATCACCTCTGCATATTATTCCTGAATCTTTTGACTGCAGTAAACAAACTCCTAAGTCACACTACTTTAAGCCCTGAAGGTGATTTGATGATGATGACACTGGGGTATCTCATAGAACCCAGGGCATGAAATACAGGATCTTATAAATACAGGATTATAAAGAGTACCACCGGGATGCTCTTCATAACCTTTGTTTTTCTTGGTGTATCTACTTCATTTGGTGCTATTTTTCTTTCTGTAGTTGGGTTGTTCTCAACTCCATTATAGTAATATCACTTGAGAGTTTAAAAAAAAAAAACCCACTCATCCCTAAATGTTAACAAATAGTGCAATCTAGGTGAAGGGTATGTAGGGTTCACTGTACTATTCTTTCAACTTTTCAGTAGTAATGAAATTATTCAAAATTAAAAGTTTGGGAAAATATTAGTGTCTGAGCCTTACTGCCAGAAATTCTGATTCAGTGGCTCTGGACATTGACAACCAGACCTTGGTAATGTGTAAAGTTGGAAATTACTGCTGTGCGCTGCTGTCTTTTTCAGCTTCTCTAGAAGAGAGTGAGTCCCATTTCTTTCCTGAAAATTCCTGGGATGACGACGACTGGTCCACCCAGCTTGGGTCAGCTGCCTTCCCCTAACCCAGTCAGCTCCGGACAGGCCCATCGTTCAGCATCGCTGCATGCATGGTAAACCCGGAAGATGTAGGCGGTTTCCAGAAAAGCGTGGGCAGGGTAAGGGGTCAGCTAGGCAAAATGATTAATGATAGTAATAGTAATAGTAGTAGTAGTAATAGGTGTCCAGTGTATTCCTCCAATAGAAATGCAAACTGAGTCCTTAACCGCGACATTTGAGAATATCTGACTGTCGATAAGCCAAAGCCATTATTTCCTATTTTAGCTATTTTTCAAATTATGTCATTGTTTTCAAAGAATGGAATGATGGAGACTTATTCTTCGTTAGTTTAGCTTTAGTATCACATATAAGTGATAACATACAGCATTTGTCTTTCTCTGTCTGACTTTTTTCACTAAGCATATATACTATGCTTAGCGAAATAATTCTCCATGTGCTTTGAGTAATTAAAAGCTTTGAGCTTTGAGTAATCGAAAACAGACTACTAACGACAAATCCAGTTATCCTTTTGTCTTCCACAGAACATTTCTTCTGATTTTTCTCGTCACCCCACCAAAGGGCCAATCTAGCAAACCAGGCTATACTCCTAACTTGGGAGGTGAGTACAAAGCAAAGGGGACCCCATATACATGGCCTGTATGTGATATTTCTTTTAAAAAAATCACAATTTGATTAATTCTAATCAGAAATGATTTTTTCTTGGTTGAAAGGATTCTTCTCATGCAACCTACTCTCACCTAGCTCCGGTTAGAGATATATTCACACTTCTAATTCTTGGACTTCTGAAATTCTTATTGTCCCTGCAAAACAGTCAGGCCTGTCCGAGGATGTGTGTAAATCAGCCTGAGTGTATTTGAGAGGGGAGTGAGCAGATGAGCTAGCGCTACCCAGCTGCTCCCTCTTTTCCTGCCCTTAAGTTCTCCATCCCCAGGACATCCTCCATGATATCAACAACATCCCCAAATTTCCCACTGTTGCCCCCTCTCTTCCCCAGTGTTAAAAGATCAAGGAATTATGCTACACACTATCCATGTGAGACCTTGGAGATACTGTAGAAGTTAATTTACATTTGCAGGAGGGTCTGAGACAGAGAGAAACAGAGGGAAGGGAACCACAGGGTGAAACAGACAGGGGCACTTAGCGACATGGCATGGCAACTCAGAGCTGGAAGAGAGCCACCAGATACCCAGACATGTGCGGCCAAGTCTTCCAATCCTCTATCTCCGTTTCCCTCTAGATCTAGAGAGAGAAGACCAGACAGGGAGATGGAGACACCCACGCTGGGACCTCCACCTTCACAGTGAGACAGAGAGATGCAGAGAGAGGCTGAGGGTTACAGAGAGAGACCCAGAGAAATACAGAAAGAAACAGAGAGAGCAACACACACAGAGACACATAGAGTGACAGAGGCAGAGAGCTGTAGAGAAAGCCTTCCTCCCCGACCCCAGTACATTCGGCTCCAGCAGCCTCTGTGGCTGAGACCTTCTGCAGCAACCCTTGTACAAAAAAGGACCTTGTACAAAAAAGAGGTCTTTTTCCAAGAGGAAAGGACGTGGTCCAGCCTGCAGAGAGACAAGGTTTGTAACTCAGCATTTGCAGATGAGAGAACAAAGCTGTTCCCTGGATTCCAGAGTGACTTAAAGAAAAGAGACTCACCATTTGCCAAGGGGGCTCTACTCAAAGGGGCTTATTGTTCAAGAAAGAGTGAATCCACGATGCAGTTGTCATGAGGCTTTTGGGTCTTGCTGCTTGTCCATTAAAGCTGTGATTGTCTGTTCTTGACCAGGTCATACATTTCAGGAGCACAGGGCCCCCAGGAGAAATGTGCAGATTCCTGTCTTCTTGTCTCTGAGGAGTGTGAAGGGAGCTTCCCTCTCAGTGGTACTGATGGAGGAGGGCATGAAGTGCGGAGAGGATGGAAGCCCCCTGTCTAAGCTGTTCTGTGCTGCTAATGTTTCTCCCCTACCCACTGTCAACATCTATATATGCCATGCTGGGTTTCCACAGGGGGACAGCGGAACCTTGGTCTTGTCAGGGTCTCTAGCTCCATTGCTGTTGGAATCACGTTTATCCCCAGGAAGACAGCTCTGGCTCAGCTTAGCAGTGGTGGCCTGGGATGTCAGCTGGCTGGATTCTGTGGGTTGCTGAGGGAAGGCCCTCATGAACAGTCACCAACAGTTGGGCTGACTCTATGTAGGTCATTGCTGGTTCTTCTGGCAAAAGGAATCCAAGAGCCAGTATGTTAAACTCTTCCAATTGAAATTGATTGCATGGTCAGCCTGGCTTGCGCTTAGATGCAACTTCTTTGGCTGTGAGTCAAGCAAAAAGCACAGAGCTTTTGAGCCAGAAATGTGTTTATTTTAAGTGAAGGAGACTGAAGCCTGGAGTGATGGGTAACAGCTAATCAAGGCTTGAGCCAGAGGTAGAAACCCAAGTCTGCTGGCTTCCAGTCCTGGGCTTTCACCTCAAGACCAAGGAGCCACCAAGGGCCTCTCTGCCCTACTCTGACTATGTAAGATTAACGCCGACCAACAATATGGTGTTTTGAAACCTGTGATGAGGAAGGAGAAATATTATATTTCCAGTAGAGAGCTACTCATTTCCTTAACATTGTATGTGAACAAATTCAACATTCAAACCAGGAGCCACCTGATAGGAAGGCAGTATTATAGGTAAAAACCCTTCTAGAAAAAAAACAGAAGAAGAAGCTCCTTTATAAAGCCAGCACACAGGCAGATGTAACAGAAGAAAATGAGTGGATAAAGGAAAAGGGGCAATGGGTAGCCCCTAATTATCCTACCAAGAACCCAGTATTAATGATGTGATATTACAAATGGGAAAGGGAGACTCACTTTGTGAATGAGTAGGGCCTCTCTCTCACTTTTTTAATGACAAAAAACTTCCTCTAAGCAGGAAAGTTTGAGAAAGCAAAAGTATAATAATCAGCAGGTAGAAAAACATACAAACCGGGAGAACGAGTCATCTTAAGTGGCATTGCTCATCTTGGGACAACAATTGCACCCTTTTCAAATGAAGTCAGAAAGAAGTTTTAATTTGACATTTCCCAGTATCTCCGTAGGGTCTCTTCAAGGGAAGAGAATGGGACGGGCACAGTCCTGGTTTTCTCAATGCAGAGATTTCAGTGTGAAGAAATGTCATTTATCCTAAGTCAACATATTGAAGTGAAGATGGAATCCCATGGAGCTAAATGGTTACAGGATTTTAACTCTGAAAAAACTTTAGAAAAGACTGAGTCCAATTGCCTTGTTTTACAGATGGGAACACTGAACACGAGACAGACAGACAGACAGAGAGGTTGGCCTTTCATCTGTATTGTGCATGGAGCGATCACATCTAGTATGAAAACACACTCTGCTCAGATGTACTCACTCCTTGAGAGAAGATGGCGGGAAAGACGCTCTATCTTGGGATTATTATTAATTAAGAAAGGCTCATGGGGGCTTCCCTGGTGGCACAGTGGTTGAGAGTCCGCCTGCCGATGCAGGGGACACGGGTTCGTGCCCTGGTCCGGGAAGATCCCACATGCCGCGGAGCAGCTGGGCCCGTGAGCCATGGCCGCTGAGCCTGCGCGTCCGGAGCCTGTGCTCTGCAACGGGAGAGGCCACAGCGGTGAGAGGCCCGCGTACGGCAAAAAAACAATAAACAAAAAAAAAGAAAGCCTCATGGATGCTAACAGAGAAACTCTGGAATCATCTGGGAATCCCTTGAAGAAGCTGAGCCTTCTCTCCTGCTACCCACAGCCCAGTCTGCCCCATCCTGAAAGGTGTCAAGGCACTGCACGGATCAGGCTGACCATGGAAGACCCAGGGTGGAGACAGACGCAATGTCCCGTTCACACCTCACCAAGGAAGTGACTTGGTCAGGTGGCTCAAGGAGAAACTGGTGGTAACAGTGTCTAAGGCAGATTCTTGGGTAGAGCACCTAGTACTTGGTAATCCTCGGGAGAGTTATTTAAATTTCTGGGACTTTGATTTTCCCAACCAGAAACTGAGCTTACCTCATAGGGTTGTTGTAAAGAGCTTACCTCATAGGGTTGTTGTAAAGATTAAATGAGTAAGTGGAGGTAAAATACTTAGACTAGTACTTGGCAAATAGTAATTGGCCATTAAAATGTTAGCTGTTTTTATTCGAGTACCTGTGAATTCATGCACACACCCACAAACACACACACACACACACACACACACACAACCAAACACACAGCCATGACCTTTGGCCTGAGTCTGGATGAGACACTCTCGTGGAGCTGTTCACTGACAGCTAAATGAAAGTGTTAAGTGTTGGATTCAGTCTCTTTCATCAGGGCTACCAGCCAGCAAAATGTGTGGAAGGATCTCTTCATTCAATGTTTCCAGAGTTGTGATATATGGTTCCCTGCCCTGGAAACAGTGTATGTCAGAGAGTGTACATATATTCAGGGCACTCCGAGCTCTGCATCACTTTTTGCCTTCTCTGTGAAGTCTTCCCTGACCTGTCCAACCAGAAGTGCTGATTCTCCCCACTGATTTCCTACAATATTTATCATCTGTGCCATTCACTGTATAGTCAGTATTTACTGTGTAATATTGTTTATTTACTTTTAGCTTTTTTGTGTGCATGTATTTTCTTTCCCAGATAAGACTGTAAACCTTTGGGGACAGAATTACTCTTGTTACTCACTATGTCACTCACTTTTGTATGTCCAAAGAGCAGAGCAAGGTGATTTGCACATAGAATATGTTTAATAAAGTCCTTTGATGACACAACCAAAGGTTTGATGATACTGGCTTTTTTAATTTCCAAATGACACAGTACTAAACTAGTGACCAAAATGGAATGTCCTATTTCCACAACATCGCCTCCTCGAGCCTCATGACTACAAAAGACGTAACAAAACTCCTTTCACTTATTTCTCCTTCATGCCAAGATCTCCTCTGGTAATATTCAAATGGAGGTTTGCCTTGGAATTTGGGGGGCCAGGAAGGTAGGTAGTAAATGGGAGACACTAGAATTGGGATGTGTGGGACTATTTGGGGGTGGGAAGGACAATCCAACTGGCTTCCCTGTCCCAAGTCAGATCAAGGGAAGTTTCCCTCAAGTGGAATTCTATATCTGAATTCCCCACGGTTGTGCACCAAGGTAGAGAGGCTCAGTAAGAACTCCTTGGGCCAGTCATTAAAAAATAAAACAAAAATACCTTTGGTGTTAAGGTAGGAATTGGATCACGATGTACTGATCAGTATCCTAGTCAGTGTTTTCCAAGTTCAACGTCAGTACAGGCAAAAATGTGGTCGCCTTTTAAAATCAACAAGTGACACAACCTGGCATTTTACCCCCTGCGTTCTAATTACCCCAGTGCAGTAGGTGCAGCAGAGTCTCACGTGGTCATCTGAGATAAAGAGGAGGAATGAAAAGACAAACAAGTGACTCATTTTAATGAATTTGCTTCAGATGAGAGAAACCTGTAATTTCTCTTAGACTTGTTTGACGGACCCACTGTGCAGTGAATCCCAGACTTACACAAGCCTTGAAACTCAGGGCAGGTTTACAGTTCTCCCATCGGCTTCTCACCACGGCGGCTGGTTTACACTGGGGCCTCCTGGACTTCCTTTCAAATATGGAGAAGACAGATCCCAGCTACTGATGGGGACCTTGGGAGGTTCCAGAGCCAGCACCAGTGATGGTGGGGCACGGTGGTGGGGAGCCCTGCGCCGACCCTCCTGCAGGGCTGCTGGATCTCCTGAATGCTGTGAGTACACACGCCATGCCAACGCCTTTTCCTGCTGAAGGCAGGGTTGTTGTTAGACATATTCCAGAATGGGGAAAATGTGTGATTTATGATGCTACTTTCTGGAACGCTTGCTTCTGCAGGAACCTTCCCTACCATTATTTAGAGATTGGCTAACTCAAGTTTGGAGTATTTCCTCAGTCTCTTTTACATTTGTTTTTCTTTAAAAAGTCGTTTGTCAGGCTCTAAATTGCTCACTTCTAGGGGTGAAAATGCAAAGCACTTTGTTAGGCAGTTAGATTCTCTGTTCTCCAATAGTCCCACTTACTGGATACATTGCATGAGCAAACTAGTTTTCAATCCCTTCCTTCAGGCTGAGTGTAAAGCTAGATTTTTCTTTTTTATGAAGCATGCTTTAATAGTCTCTTCTTTTAGTGGGGTTGACAAAGCTGTCCTTATATCAACTTAAAGGGAAACATTTCCTCCACTTGCTGAAACCTATCTCCTCTCATTTTGAGTAGCCAATATTATGCCATTTGATGGTCTATGTTCCTTAAACTCTGAGGACAATTGTGGGAGCTCTAAAATGTGCATTTTAAGATGCTATTCTTTTTTAGTGTCAGCCCTCGAGAGAGCTTTCTTCATGGAGCAGGGCAATTGCTTGTCCTATCAATTTCTTTAACGTCATACAAGTATCAAGATAGTTGGTGACATGCTGGAAGCTTTCCAACTCTGAGGTGATGTGGTTATTCAAACTTATCAGAATTTGAATCCAGACTGCAATTCTCAGAGAAGATATTGAGCTACAAAGACACTGGCTGGATGCCATCTAAAATAACCGAGGATGAGATGTTTCTCATTATAGAAGATCCTTCATATCTTTCTTTTCCCCCAAGGCTCTTTATGAAACTGCTCATCCATGGCAAGGAAGAACCCGTAAGAGAGACTGAATACATTCTATTAACGAGGCCAGAAACACACAAACAACTTGTTCGGCCATCTGGCTGTATAATCTGTCCTAATTACACTAGTGGGGTAGACAGGAAATTAGGCTGAGGGGAGCAAAAGACACACACACCCCCCTCCAAAATGTGGGTCACCTAACTTTTAACTTCCTCACCCTCCAGTTAACCTTTCTGAATGGGTCCTTCCCATCAGTGGGATTGGCCGAGGAGTATGCCGTGAGGTGCTCTCTAAAAGATTAGCAAACGAGTGAGAATAGGTCCTCTCTCTCACCTTGGGGTGCAGTTCAGTGGAGCGGAACACTTTGGGAAAGTATCCACTTGTTTACAAGCATTCCCATCCAGCTCACCTCAGAGTGTTTTGCATGAAGAGGTTTGAGAGGTCATACTTTTCCATGCATTCCTCTCTGCCTGACTGTGGTTACAGTTCCCAGGCTGTATTTCCTATTATTTTCTTTGAGAGTCCTGCTACGAGCCCTTACTCAGCGTGTTCAGACAGGTGGGGAGGGCCTCAGGCTGCGTGAGTCATCTGCCCCAACTCCACCTAGCATCTAGTATCAGAAATATGTTCCAGGACCCAGGAAGTCTAACTGTATTTTTGAATTCCAACTCAGAAACTCAGCTCCAGGTACAAAGATGGGACAAATAGAAGATGGTGTTTAAGAACAGCCAGCATCTTCTGGGTCTGTCCAGGGAAGCAGTGTTTTGTGATTTCTGACTTTGTGGAGACAGCGTGGAAAGACACTGGCACTGTCATGTCATCACTAATCTGGCAGTACGCTGTTTCCTGCTGAATCTAGATGAGACCGCACAATCCTTTTTTACATAAGGATGTAGTATAACAAACAGGAGGTCCATTAGGCTGGGTGCATTTCTACTTAATTTACCAGGTTCCAAAATGATCTAGCATTGCAAATATGCTCCTCTGCTCTCCTAAAATAGGAAAGTTGCCTTGTGATTTTAAAACAAAAAGTTCAGAAGCTGGCATCATTCACACCTTTATTCATGTATCCAACAAATGTTTACTGAGTGTCTATTATACATCTTATGCTCTGCTGGATGCTGGGGACAGAGAAATGTCCTTCTGTGTCCACCTCCTGGTTAATGATAACCTGATTTTTTTTTTTTTTTTTTTTTTGTGGTACGCGGGCCACTCACTGTTGTGGCCTCTCCCGTTGCGGAGCACAGGCTCCGGACGTGCAGGCTCAGCGGCCATGGCTCACGGGCCTAGCCGCTCCGTGGCATGTGGGATCTTCCCGGACCGGGGCACGAACCCGTGTCCCCTGCATCGGCAGGCGGACTCTCAACCACTGCACCACCAGGGAAGCCCTGATAACCTGATTTTTCCACTAAGTGCAGCCTACTTTCTCTGGGGCTCTGGGACTAAAAGCACTAAGCCCAGTGCTCTGCTGACCCCTTGTCATTAGGTCTCAGAGCACAGGCAGTGGTATGGACGGTACTCATTGCTGTGGATTCTCCACAGAGCTAAATCCTGAGATGCAGCCCCTCTGGGACTTTTGGGTGTAGCTATATTTTCCTTTAAGCCTCTGAAGCCAGAAGACACTATTTTCTCTCTCTCTCTTTGACATAATCACCATGTTAGAGCAGGGAGACTGGCTTCCATTCAGCTACCTAGAATAGCTGCTTATTATTAAATGAAAAGCAGAAGCGTATGGAAGAAGTAATTCACACGTTTGTGAGGACACACAAAGAGACGCGGGTTGTGGAAATAAGAAGGAGTGATTGGCACTCCTTTAGTTCCTGAGAAGCTGCCATTCCAGATTGCTTGTTGCTTTTGTCTCTTAAATAAGTCTTCTTTCAGATACTTTGGGAATAAGATGCAGCGTGCCTTTATTGGATGACTAGTGTACAAGTTGGAGGGAGTTTCTTTGTAAATGTCAGATAACTATTTATTTACCTAATTACCATAGAGAGCTTCAGGTGAGAGTTCTTTTACATCTTGTTTCTTTTCCTCTTTTTTATTCTCCATTTCTGAGTCTGTCTTTCCCTCCCTTGTGATCATCCCATACTTCTGACTGCCATGCATAGGTGCCTGTCTTCCCTCCAGCTTTACTCAGCGTCATGTCAAGTTTCAGGATAATTCTTACATGTTGCATGGATTAAAGATTGCCTGCCCACTGCCGCCTTCTTTCAGGATGCACTAAGGCCGGGACTATTGCTCTCCGCTGGGCTACTTTGGATCACGATGTGAGTGAATGAAAGGAGCTCCCAGGAAGGTGTTAGCACAGGACTGGCATGGGGTAGGGTCCAACAAAGGCTTGTGAAGCTTGAATCTGGAGAGATTGATATGTTCCAAAATAGCATACTGTCTTTGGGTAGCAGCCTTCAACTCTCCCAAAGCACTTTTGATGATCAAGTAAATTTGGTAAACCTGTGTGACAGTCTTCTCACTTCAAGAACTCTCATAACTTTGCTATGCAAATGTATGTGTGTGGTGGGGGGGGGGGGGTTGGTGGTACTGGTACACAATGTTTCCCAAACTGATCTGACCATGGAATCCCTTAGTCTTTTATGAGACCAGTGATCCACAGAAAAACACGTCAGGACACGATGCCTTGGCCAAATCCAATAGACACCAAATTGTTCGCCCGCTAAGAGTAAAGCAGGCAGATTTCCTGAATTCATAGTACATTTATACAAATGTCTTCAGTGTTGTTTTTCTTCTACCCTTTTTTTCTTTACCTTTTGGTGCCTGGGACAAATTGTTGCCAAACCGGTGATGGATAATGTGCGTATCCCAGGATGAATATGCATTTTTGCAGCGTTATTCTGTCAGGATTACTGCTTACTCTTTTCATTTCCCCCCAGCTGGGTATTAGGATCTTGATTTAAATAGCCAGCGACAGTTCTTCCCAACAAAGTGTTTTTCTGCCACCATCTCCAGGGGGTTTGTAGAACTAGGGATTTTATAAAGACACACGATTTCACTGATAAGCTGAACACTCTGTAGAACCAGAAGTCAGTACATGGTATAAAGGTAATTTAAGCATCCTGGACAGAGAGTAACTCTGGATTCTCCATGTAGGATAGGACCTGGCACGGACTCTGGCCACTCTTCGCGAGGAACTAGTAAACCCCGCGTCCAGGTGAGTGTCCAGGTGAGCGTCCAGGTGAGCGTCCAGGTGAGCTGGCTTTGGTTACGTTCACATCTGAAAGCTTTTCCTTTCAGTACTGCCTGTGTGTTACTGATGCTCTTCTAGACAATCTAGTTTATGTTTAGATTTTGTGTCTTTGTTCTTCTCTTTTCCTCATTCGAAACCTAGGTTTCTTTTCCTCGTTCATCGGTACTGCCATCTAAACGCCAGTGCCGATGAGACGGTGAGAAGCTGAGAGCAGGGTCTGGGTGAAGGCGAGACCCTGGGGCAGGCATGAGGCAGTGCTGTGCTGGAGCTGGCTTGTACTGTCTCAGGAGAGCTGACTGTTATATTTTCAGGCATTAAATTATATAAATATACCCCTTGAAAGAATTTTCCATATCGGTTGTATTTCAACTTGACATTTGGACCATTGTGATGAAACAGTATGAACCCAGAACCATAGGTTCATAAAATGCCAGAAGTGGGAAATAAGACATGCGTTAGAAATGAGATTCTAGTCCAACCTAGTAATTTTCATAAGTAAGGAGACCCGGAGTACATGTGAGATTTGCCCAAAGCCACCCAACTAATCATGAGAATTAGCATTCTCCTTGCTTTGGACGTTTTCAGTGAACCACACTCCCTTGAATTCCAGTCTCTGTGTATTTATAGATCTTGAAGATGAATTTTGGTCTAGCTTTCTGTCTTTTCAAGCAGCAACTGAAATTACCATCATTGTTATATTAATTAGAAAGAAGTCATTGATTCGACCAACAGTTTCTCAATAAGAGCTACTTTTAAAATAAACAGAAAGTTTTCTGGACACATTGAGAGTCAGAATTTATGGTCAGCTAGTACTGAGTGTGACTTTTAGTGCCACAGTTCATCAGCTCTGTGATAGGCATTTTTTATTCACCTCTGAACATTTTTGAAATTGGAATGTATTGTACAGTTAGTGGCATGTCATGGTTTCATTGGCAAGTTCTTTTCTTTTTCTTTCTTAGTGGACATAAAAGTAATAATGTTGCTTACAGTGTTGGGTTCAGTGTAATATGGTAATTTAATTCTGTGTAACGGTGTCAATTTGGCTACTTTCTTTCACGTTTTCATTTTTACACATTTATCTCTAGTCAGGCACAGACATGAATATAAATCTATGTGCATTTTGGTCGATGTCATTCCTCATTGACTTCACTGTTATTTTTTCCCCATTTAGAATGCATCGTTAAGCCCAGCCAATGGATCTAAATTGATGAATCGTTGAGGATAAGATGTGAGTATTACAAACTCAAGGAGAATCTTACTGTATGTAGACATTGTGCTACGTCTTGAAGAGGCATTTTATTTGTACTTGCAGGAATTTTTCAGTTTGGAATTATGCAAAACTCAAAGTTCACTCTAATTATTGTCTTTATCAATGGTTAATCTAGGAAAGCGCGCTTCCTCCGTCCTGTGCTACATAATATCAACTTCTGATTAAGGATTATGCTGGCAATGCTTCTTTTTACTTTTTAAATTCCTCACTCTCCACGCTCTTAAGCTTTCCTCATTCTCTGCTCTGCAGAGCACTCTGGCTTTTGGCCTCAGCCAACATCTGAACTCTGGTATGGGAGGGATCCCATTCAACTCTTTCTGCTGAGAAGAAAAACAACCCAACTGAGGCTAACTTGAAAACATCTATCCATGTGACTAATCCCCACCAGTCAAACTGGGCAAAAATAAGAATGCTATGACTCCTCTTGGGTTATGTCATTAAATAGTCTCTCCCCAGCATTTGTAGTAACTGAAGGAAATTTACCATATAATTATCATGCCAAGTGGTATGTGGGTGACATACACCAGACTATAATAACGGGAATGATCAACTAGCAAATTAACCCCAAACTAGCCAGTTGTGTTTAGTTCAACGTTTGTTTCTTATGCTCACGCTTATGATTTCATCTTGCATATATATATTTCTGCTAGTAAAATTTTTCTTAGTTTATATGAATACATGAAATGTATCATTATTTCATAATGTTCCACAAAGAGCATAATGATCTATAGAAAATGCCATGGCTATTGGATTAAATACTCTCTGAACATTTTTAGGGACTGTGGACTTAGAGGCCCTAGCATTGGTTGCAGAACATTTTGGGACTCCATAAATCACATCACATCACATCACATCACTATGCCAAACACTTGACTTTCTTCCAGCCAGATCAGCTTTAAGCAAAGTTCCTATAATGAAAACAATGGAGAATAAGAGTGGCCCTTCTCCTGAAGCCTTAGATAGCAGGCATTATTACTTATAAATGTGATGTTCTCCAGGTGGAGGAGAATTGCACTTACCCATCAGTCCTATTATTTGATCCTGAATGTAGGCATCTTTTCTCCCTGATACATGTATCTGGGGAAGGGACTGCAACAGAATTGTGAAGAATAGCAAAGAGAAAGGATCAATACGACCAATTTAGCAGAAGAAGTGAATAATTTTCGACTTGACAATGATAATGAATCATACTCTATATTTCTGTTTTTCAAATTGCAGGTTACCATCCATTAGAGGGTTGTGAATTTAGTTTAGTGGGTGGCAACCAATTTTTGAGAGAAAGATAGAATAAAGTGGAATACAAGATAAATATCATGGATTTATCAGAGTGTCTTGCACGTAGGAAGAATAGTATTTTAACATATAAGTTTCTCAAATATAAAAATTATGTGCTTTTTGAGTTATATATGCAGATCACTATATACATACATATTTTTGTCTGTACACTCTGAGTCACAATGTAAGATCTGTTTCTCACTGTGTCAGGGTCAAAAATTATTGAAAGCTACATGTATATGTGAAACATAAGGATACTTTTAAGACAGCTCACACTGGTTCTTCTGTTATTTCCCTTTATAAGGATCAGTTAAAAATATATCCTAGGGAACTTCCTTGGTGCTCCAGTGGTTAAGACTCCAAGCTCCCAATGCAGGGGGCCCAGGTTCGATCCCTGGTCAGGAAACTAGATCCCGCATGCTGCAACTTAGACCCGGCGCAGCCAAATAAATAAACAAAATATATATCCTAAACAATAGTAATATTGCAAATTTCCTAGTGTGCCCATCCACCACGTGGCTGCATATGTGAGAACTTCTTTCTACCCACACTGTCAGATCGTGAATTCCGCACGTATATCTCAACACCTATGCAAATCCATTACCACACTTTGCCTGTCATTCTGCCATGTTCCCTTTCCCCTGCTCAGATTTGGTTTACAAGATGATGGTATAAGTCAAAATACTTTCCTGTTCATTGGTTAGGAACTCAAAGACAACTTTTTTTTAACTTTTTCCTTCATGGGTGCTTTGTTTATTAATTTATTTTTTTCTTAACATTTTTATTGGAGTATAATTGCTTTACAATGGTGTGTTAGTTTCTGCTTTATAACAAAGTGAATCAGTTATACATATACATATATCCCCATATCTCTTCCCTCTTGTGTCTCCCTCCCTCCCACCCTCCCTATCCCACCCCTCTAGCTGATCACAAAGCACCGAGCTGATCTCCCTGTGCTATGTGGCTGCTTCCCACTAGCTATCTATTTTACATCTGGTAGTGTATATATGTCCATGCCACTCTCTCACTTTGTCCCAGCTTACCCTTCCCCCTCCCCTTGTCCTCAAGTCCATTCTCTAGTAGGTCTGCATCTTTATTTCCATCTTGCCCCTAGGTTCTTCATGACCTTTCTTTTTTTTTTTTAGATTCCATATATATATGTTAGCATATGGTATTTGTTTCTCTCTTTCTGACTTACTTCACTCTGTATGACAGACTCTAGGTCCATCCACCTCACTACAAATAACTCAATTTTGTTTCTTTTTATGGCTGAGTAATATTCCATTGTATATATGTGCCACATCTTCTTTATCCATTCATCTTTCAGTGGACACTCAGGTTGCTTCCATGTCCTGGCTATTGTAAATAGAGCTGCAATGAACATTGTGGTACATGACTTTTTTTGAATTATGGTTTTCTCAGGGTATATGCCCAGTAGTGGGATTGCTGGGTCATATGGTAGTTCTATTTTTAATTTTTTAAGGAACCTCCATACTTAGGAACTCAAAGACAATTTTAAACTCAAAGACAATTTGGAAGCCTTCCTGTAAGTGCCCGTGGGTTGTCATCTCAGCAGAAGACTCAGTGGAGCTGTGAAAGTCCCTCTTAATCTTGACTCCAACCAGGAAGGCTTTGAGCCAAGATCAGTGAGTTTTGTCTGCTTCCCGGTCACAGTTTGCCCCATGAGCCTAAGTGGATCAGAGTGAGTTCATCTCCATTAGAGCATAAGGAAATTCATGTTTGCTGAGGACTAAGTGGTTGTTTAGTTGGCTAAGTATTGTAGTAGCTATGTGCTGTCGTCACCTTCAGCTGGAGCCAACTTTGTTGTATATTGCAGGTGAAGAGCCTCGTGTGTGAAAATGAAGTCCCAGGCAATCACGATTTACTGTTTAATGTTATTTCTGGCCACAGAATGTTCTCATCCTAGATCCAAGACCCACATAAAAGTAAGTTTGATCCATTCTTAGGTGGTCCCATTAGAAATCAGTCAGTTCTTTGAGATGACTAGAGTTATGATAAATAACATGTCATTTAAAAGAAATTTTCAGATGACTACGATTTTACCCTTACTAATGGCAGATTTCTAAAGAAAGGAATAAAGAAAAGACAGTACAGTATTGTTGTGACAGGGTGCAACAGTATTACAGAAAAAACCACGGGGTATGTAGACAGGCAGCTGGTGAGAGGAGGAACCACTAGCCTGGCAGCTGAGCAATTTAGGTTCAAAGCTTAACTTTGCTTGTTAGTTGCACAAGTTGCTTCATTTCTCTGAGTCCTTAATTTCCTTACCTATAACATGAAGAGTGTTTTTTTTTTTCTTCTTTTAGATCTTTACTGTCTTTCATAGCTACAGAGAGTTTGTGATTCTATTATTGCAACCTAGCACACATTCCTAGTACCTGCTCACTTCTTCCTCTCTGAGGATACACGGTATCGGGTGGACCACATTAGTTTCATTCCACAGTTTCAGTTAATCCAGGCAGAGAACAGCTTAGTGCTATAATTGTCATCACTGTGTTCTCCAAGGATACTTCAACTTCCCAAAAGTTGCATCCAATGCACTGACCTTCAGAGCTCAGTGAGCACTGTCAAGTGTCTAACCTTCATGGGGGCAGCATGTTCTCGGTCGGTGCTCACATACCTGTTTCCTTCAGCAGTTCCTGCCACATCAGCTGCATCCTTCTTCCTAGTCTTCAACACATTTTCTTTTCATGTCCACATGGAGCCTCTAAGCTGAGATGAGAGACGAGAGGCCCACAGTAAAGAAGACGTTTGGGAATTTATGGTTTACAGGATGGAGATAAACTTCAAGGTCCTGAAGGAAAACCCAAGACTGAAAGGATGCAAGGTGTGTGGCTATAGAATAGTTTTCTTCCATTTGAAGACTGGGCAGAATAAAGGAAGGGCATGGATATCGCAAGCCTGTCCCCAGACCGCAAGCTTTCACATAGAATAACAATCTTTAATAAATTCTTTTTTTTTTTTTTTTTTTTGTGGTACGCGGGCCTCTCACTGTTGTGGCCTCTCCCGTTGCGGAGCACAGGCTCCGGACGCGCAGGCTCAGCGGCCATGGCTCACGGGCCCAGCCGCTCCGCGGCATGTGGGATCTTCCCGGACCGGGCCACGAACCCGTGTCCCCTGCATCGGCAGGCGGACTCTCAACCACTGCGCCACCAGGGAAGCCCACTCTAGCATTTCTTGATTAGTCACTAAGGAGAGGTAATTCAGATGATTTAGTAAAGCTGATCTTTCTATGAAGGTTCTAATTTGACCTGTTTTGGGAAGCTTATTAGACTAAGCCGGGTGGAGGAGGCCCTGCATCCTGTCTAACCATTTTAGAGAAGAGGGGCGTGGCTGAAGTCTTCCCTCTAGCTAGCTGGGCATACCTGGTTGGCTGTATGAAAAGCTGGTGACAATCAGTAGAAGCCAAGATCAGGCATTACACCACTTACTAGAATCAGGGGGGTGCTTGAAGTTTGACCAGTATCAGGAGGAAGTGAAGGAAGGAGATGGAAACACACTAACAACTCTCCCCAAAGAAATCCTCACCACCTATTTCTTCAACTTTCAACTTCTACTTTTGAACCTGTGAAGTGGGGGACGGATGAGGATTGCATTCTTTCAGCATATCCTCTGCGGGTGGCCCTGGCCCTGTTGAATTTTCTCAGTAATTGGGGTCCTCCGCTTTTTACATCTGCACCCAGGAGGAATCAGAAGGTCTCAGAAGCAGCAGCTGGCACCATGTTGGGGGTGCAACGAACTCAGAGGACAGGACTGGAAATTCATGATCATTGATCCTCCCAAGTCCAGAATGGAGAGCTGGCAGCACCGGGAAGGTCTTTCAGCAGAAAGCAGGGCTCCAACCACACGGTCGAGAGCAGAATTACAGCTCAAGGACGCAAGTGTCTGGGAAGCACAAGGCCGGGTCACGGCCCAAGCTAGGGGTCAACCACAGAGCACAGGCAGTATTTCAGACCCTAAACCAGAACACAAAATCTTAGACTGACGGGGTCTGGGGAGGCAGGCCGAATTCCAAGAGCCAGAAAGGGGGCAGGAGACCAGAATTGGACTTGCCCAGATTTGGGGCCCTTGTGGTTGGAAACTCCACATGTTCCAGTGACCTCAGGTCAGATTATTCTTAGGAACAAGGTCGGGACAGGTGTACAGGGAGGTCCCGGAACCATGGAAGGACAGCAGAGGTGTGAAAACCGGGCAGTTTTCTCCATGTATAGATCCTAACTGGGGGTTCCCATCCTGGGAAGCAGGGGAGGGAGGGGAACAGCATTCTTAATACGAGGCCACGGCTGCACAGCGCCCTCTGCTGTTCATATGGAGGGTGGACCTTTATATGACCCAGCAGAGCTTGTGTTACCCAGTGTGATTTCAGGGTCACCAGGACGGCTTCTCCATTCCTCTGAAATCTCTTCCACTTATTTGTTCATGCCTAAAATTCATTAAAAGAACTCCTCATTCCACAATGAGAAATGGGACAGATAGAATAGATACCCGGAGAGAAGCAACACGGTTTTCCTAGTAAAGCTGCAAATTCAGAGCCGCTGAGTCATTCTAGAGACCAAGCTTAGAGAAGGGGGAGAGAGGGCATTGCAAGTTTAGGATTGAGGGAGCAGCATGGAGAAGGCAAAGTGCACAGAAAAATTAAGCTGGGGGAATAGCCTTCATGCTGTGTGACCTTGAAGAAATTGCCAATGCCTCTGTGCCTCCATTTCCTCCTCTGTAAAATGGGGCTAATAATAGTACAGACCTCCCAGGGTGGTCTCAGGATTCAATGAGCCAACACATTCAAAACTGACAGACTGATGCCTGGTTCAAATTAAGTTATTGGTACATGCCAGCTATTATTCTGACTGTTAACCAGGGCTTCATCCATTTTGCCTATGCTGCCCCATTCCTCGTGGATATCCTGTGTCCTGGCCGGAGAGTTGAGCTCCTGGAGAAAGAGGCTGGAAGGCAGGCTGGGATGTGGAGGGACAGTCATGCTTCTTTGGAAGACTTTCTCTTCTTGCCAGGAGTGACATCTAAACTCTCAGTGTGAGAAGGTTTGCTGAGGAAAAATTGAAGAGGACATTTGGTGACTGGGCTTGAAGGAGGTAGATCTATGGATTCTTTGATCTACTCACGACCTGCAAAAGCCTGGCTTCTTGGTCAAAGTTGGCAAGAGTAAGACTCAGTCCCCTTTCACCCCCAAGGGCCTGCTCTGTGTCTCCTTGTCTTAGCCACCCATTGGCTTTTGACTCTGCAGCAAGCGGGGTGGTGGTGTGGACTGAAAAAATGGAGTCAAGGACCTAGGGCTTTCACTAGACTGAAGAGGAAGAGTTAGAGGAGGCCTTCCAATGTCCTTCTAGGGGTTTGGCCTTGTCCCAAGATAGGAAAAGGGACAGGGTTTCAGAGCAAGGGATCTGCTTCAAGAATGAAAGTTAAAACTGGACCTGGAAACTGGTGCAAGAGAGCAAAGAACTCTATCTGGATAACAAGAATTTTCACAGTAACGAATTACGGAGAAGATAAATTCTGTTCCTGAACTACTTTACTCAATTCCACGATCCAACCTAAGCTTCATGGAGGATTAGTGGTTAGGGCCGTCTCTTTGCTGAAAGTAATAAGATTGTACAAAGGGTTCTATGGGGAGAGACATTCCTATGCTGCTATTACTGTTCAAAAGATACAGGCAGGACTTCCCTGGTGGCATAGTTGTTAAGAATCCACCTGCCAATGCCGGGTACACGGGTTTGAGCCCTTGTCCGGGGAAGATCCCACATGCCACGGAGCAACTAAGCCCGTGCGCCACAACTACTGAAGCTGCGTGCCTACAGCCCATGCTCCGCAACAAGAGAAGCCACCGCAATGAGAAGCCCCCGCACCATAACGAAGAGTAACCCCCGCTTGACGCAACTAGAGAAAGCCCGCGTGCAGCAACGAAGACCCAATGTAGCCAAAAATAAATAAATAAATTTAAAAAGATACAGGCAGGCTCTAAAAGCTGGAAAAGACAAGGAAACGAATTCTCCCTTAGAGCTTCCAGGAGGAATGTAGCCCTGCTGATGCTCTGATTTGAATGTAGTGAGACCCACTTTGGACCTCTCTGACAGGCAGAACTGTAAGATAATATATTGTATTGTTTTAAGCCAATGAATTTATGGTAATTTGTTACAGCACTGATAGGAAGCTAATAGAGTAGCAGTAGCTACATAATCATAAATAATTCACAAGCAAATTAGTTTAAAACTTGGCAAACCGACAGTGAAAATGATTGATTTGTATAAATTAAACACTTCAGTGCCACCTGGTGGCTGAAATCTTACAGCGAATGACTTGAAATGACATAAACCTCTAGCTAGTCCCTAAAAAGAGAAGTACTATCCTCCAAACATGGCATAAGGCTAATTGTGATCAAATGATTAAACAAAGGTTGAAATTGCTCATAGGGATTACCAAATAATACAGTGGAAAAAGAACTCCACGAATAAACATTCAGGAATACAGCATTTTATTACACGGACCTATAATAGAAAACAGGTAACCAGTAAGACCTGCCTAGGAATCACTAGCCAGGGGTGGTGCAACAGGTGGCTGGGGGACCCTTCACTCCATTCAAGCCTTACCCCGTCAAATTTATCGGACCTCTACTCTCCTGATGTTAGCTATGGACAAGTAACCTTTCCCAACCTCATAGTAAGTATAGTAGCATTGCTTTAACCTGATAGCACTGCTAGACCTCTTCTACAGAGAAAATCTGAACCTGTCTGGACATACATGATCTAGTCAAAAGTGCAAGGTACCTCACACCCATTAGGATGGCTGCTATCAAAAGAAAACAGAATGTAACAAATGTTGCTGGGCATGTGGAGAAGCTGGAACCCTGTGCACTGTTGCTGGAATTGTAAAATGGTGCAATGGCTATGGAAAACAGTATGGAGGTTCA